ATGGAAGAGTCTGACCACTATTTCACTATTTGAGTCTGATGAATTCTGGCATTATCATCTTGGAATATGCCCATGTCATCAGGGAAGATGGAATAACCTGGTCATTCAGTGTATTCAGGAAGTCAGCTGACCTCATTCTTGGAGCACATCCTGTTTCTGAAGCTAGACCTGACCATCTGCAGCAACCTCACATCCTGGCCATGTCATGCAAGTAGTTAAAGCAGTAAAGTAAGAGTAAATCATCCTGAGGTGCTTCATGGGTGCGGTTGCTTTACATCCAAGGAAATGTGCTCACTCACAGTTAAACCTCAGGTGAATGGTATCTTTTCCATCATGCAGCACTGTGCCTTACGGCAAAAACAATAACTAAGTGGCTTGGGCAACAAAACATCATGATGTTGGATCAAGAGCTTCAATCACATTGAGAACTTTTGGTCAATACGTTAAAAGTGAATGGACAAATTAAACCCACAAATCCTGACAAACCTGATTATGAGAGGACAGCAGGCTAATTGACCACATGCCAGGGTGGATTAAGGAGATCTTGAAAAAGAACGCCCAACATTGAATACTGTATATTGGCTCTTCACCTTCCATCCATGGATGGATGTTAGGGCTGTCATGGCTGACACATCTCTGCAATATTGCATGGTCATCGGGGGCAGTTCCTGTGGAGTGGCAGACCGGGGTGGTGGTCCCCATCTTTCAGAAGGGCGACCTGAGGGTGTGCTCCAACTATTGGGGGATCACACTCCTCAGCCTCCCTGGAAAGGTCTACTCCAAGGTACTGGAGAGGAGGGTCCAATCGATAGTTGAATCTCAGATTGAGGAGGAGCAATGTGGTTTTCGTCCTGGCCGTGGAACTGTGGACCAGCTCTATACCCTTGCAAGGGTGATGGAGGGGGCATGGAAGTTTGCCCAACCAATCCACATGTGCTTTGTGGATTTGGAGAATGCGTTTGACCACGTCCATCAGGGGGTCCTGTGGGGGACGCTCCAGGAGTGTGGGGTGGGCGGCTTTCTAAGCACCATTCAGTCCCTTTACCAGAGGAGCGTGAGTTTGGTCCGCATAGCCGGTAATAAGTCGGACCTGTTCCCGGTGAGGGTTGGACTCCGCCAGGGCTGCCCTTTGTCACCGGTGCTGTTCATTACCTTTATGGACAGAATTTCTAGGTGCAGCCATGGTGTGGAGTGTGTCGAGTTTGGTGGCAGGAGAATCTCGTCTCTGCTTTTTGTGGATGATGTGGTCCTCCTACCTTCATCCAGCTCTGACCTTCAGCTCTTGCTGGGTAGGTTCGCGGCCGAGTGTGAAGCAGCTGGGATGAGGATCAGCACGTCCAAATCTGAGACCATAGTTCTCGACTGGAAAAGGGTGGCTTGCCAACTCCAGGTCGGGAGAGAGGTCCTACCTCAAGTGGAGGAGTTTAAGTATCTCGGGGTCTTGTTCACGAGTGAGGGTAGGAGGGATCAGGAGATCGACAGGCGGATTGGTTTGGCGTCTGCAGTGATGCTGACACTGAGCCGATCTGTCGTGGTGAAGAGGGAGCTGAGCCAGAAAGCCAGGCTCTCGATTTACCGGTCGATCTACGTCCCAATCCTCACCTATGGTCATGAGCTTTGGGTAATGACTGAAAGAACGAGATTGCGGATACAAGCGGCCAAAATGAGTTTCCTCCGTAGGGTGGCCGGGCTCAGCCTTAGAGATAGGGTGAGGAGCTCGGACATTCGGGAGGGACTCAGAGTAGAACTGCTGCTCCTCCGGATTGAAAGGAGTCAGTTAAGGTGGTTTGGGCATCTGGTCAGGATGCCTCCTCGATGCCTCCCTGGGGAGGTGTTTCGGGCATGTCCTGCCGGCAGGAGGCCCCCGGGTCGACCCAGGACACGTTGGAGAGGTTACATCTCCAATCTGGTCCGGGAACGCCTTGCGGTCCTGCCAGAGGAGCTGGTGGAGGTGGCCGAGGAGAGGACGGTCTGGAGCTCCCTAGTTGAGATGCTCCCCCGCAACCCGGAGGAAGACGACGAGGACTCTTCACCTTATTGTCTTAAGACATAAAGTAGATTAGAATTATATTTCAGTGTACCATAGAAACTACTGGTAATCCTAAATTACTGAAGAAGCAAACTGGGAAAATCACATGATCACGTAAGAAAAAAAAACTTCAAAAGTTAGTTTCAAGCACTTCGATTTTTGAGTAAATAACTAGTGATTTAGTCGTGATTTAGTAACTTTATAAATGTTAAACCTTAATATGGGTTAAGCTATAGCTTCATTTTTCTGTTGCATTAGATCACCCACTTAACTGTATAGTGTTAGCTTAGTGGACGCTCTGTTGTGCGGTAAAACATAATAAAACACGTGAACCTGCTGGATTTACAGCTGTTTTTTCACCATAGAAAATACAATTCTTAAGCTGATCTGTAAAATGTAAATCTTTGACAAAGACAAGAATGTAGCCGTCTGGTGTAAAGATGGCCATCCTACAAATATGTTAGAGTTGTAAATCCGATTAACTGTTTATGAGCTCTGACACCTCATACTGCATTCCTTGCCCATATAAGACTGTGCATCAGCACTTTATTCTGTTTAACGTGGCGAGACTTACATCTGTTTTAGTGAAGAATAATTCATTTAACTTCATGGTGGTGAATTGCATGAAAGGGGATGTTTTATTGATAGGATTCTTAAACTCATATAATTTCTATAAATGGGTAGGTCAATCAGAATAATCCTGCAATCTAAAGCACATGCTTTGATGCAAGTCCAATGTAAGTCAGTGTGTGTGTTTCCATTAAAGTGGGAATTAAAAGGCATAACAGGGAAGGTGTAGGGAGACGGAAGCTGTCACATTGGTCCTACTCTGTGGTTGTTGGTGTGGTTAGCCACGTCAGAACCCACATGCATGTGCACACAAATGCATTCACTTTGATGCAAGGACAAACAATTTAAATGAGGTTCATTACTGGCTTTGAACAGGAGAATTTGGTTGTGGCATGCGGATAATATTTCTAAAACACAGAATTATAGGTCCCAAAATGGCAAAACTTCATTCTGACTGTTTTTTTTTTTTTTGCAATAAAAGTTACTTCTGAAGGAACCCCAATCATGGAATGAAAACACCACTATTACATCTCCATTTTTATTAGAGAGCAAAGTGTGTTTTAAACTCCCCCTCACTGCCCCGCTTCTACCACGATTCAACTCACATAAGCCCACACATTACCTTACTATGCTGGTTTAATGCTTGTTAAATGCAATTTAAGAGTCAAGTTGTTACGTTTATCCTACTTAAAATATCTTCAGAGACTCTTGAAATGGTCACTCGCTTGAGCTTTAACACACAGGCAGACTGTAAAGTGAAGCAGTTGTAAAAATGAGCTAACATCTCACATGCTGATTGTTTTTGTGTTTGCTCTCTTTCTATGCCTCGTTTTTAAAGTCCTGTTTTCTTACAGTCAGTGTTAAAGTTACGGTGATGTATGTGACTGAGAATGTTTCTGCAGCTGAGTGTGTTTACAAGAGTGGGTAGACAATGGGCTTGTCGCAACTCTGAATTTACGACATCCTGCTTGATGATGTGGAGAGTAATAAGAGATCTGTTTCAAAGATACAGACGTTGATACAAATGTAAGATTTTTGGTTCTCTTAGAGTACATCTGGTTGTGTGTTTGTGATAATCTTGCTGGAGTGTTCCATCTACACCTGTAGACAGTCATTTGCTGTTCCCCACCTCCTATTCACAGATACACTCATCCGCTGGTAACCAGCAGTGACAGATGAAAGATGTCATATCCTCTTTAGTCTACGGAGTCTACTACACTATTACATGGTCATGAGTCACATGAGGTACCACTATTGCAGCACTTAGCTGACCACTTCAAAGATGTCCGCTGCTATTCTGTGGCACCTCAGTCTGAGTTTGAGTTGCTTTGGGATTAGCAAACTTGCTTTGACATCTATATACAGCATTGTGAAATCGCATGTTCCCCCTCACAGATTTGTTCCTTTTGTTTTAATGTCATACTTACATGTCTCCTTTTCTCAGAAAATTGCTGTGTTCTTTAGTATGAATAAATGCCTTGTGAATAGTTTTATGTGGAGAACATGCTCTTGTGCTCCTGTTTTGTGGTGTTGAAGTTTGTCAGAGAAGTGAGTCTGTGGGAGATGATGGGATTACAAGTCATACTCATTATTATAAAAACGTCTTGCCTTTGATTGGCTAAAAGCGAAGCGACTCTTCCGCTGCCATTCTTAACAGAACTCAGAATACTGGAAAACATATTTCCTTTGGTAAGAATTCCACATTGATTCATTATTTCCACAAATAACACAAACTTGTTCCATCATGCTGTAGAGTTGCTAATGGTTAGTTTCTACTGACCAAGATCTCTCTGCTCTCTCCTGGCTGCAGTTCTGAATTAAAAATGTCCCTGTTATGTAGAAGAGACTAGGTTTTTCTGACCAGATTGTTGTTCTGTGTATTTCCTTTGTTTTTTATATTTTCTGATTATAATCGGTCACTCTGAGTTTGCCATGTAGGTTGAACATTAAAAAAGTCTCCTACACCTATCTCCTGCATTAGCTTCTGCTAGGAAGTAGATGGTGAAATGCTACGACTTAAAAATCCTGACAGAACTACGTCATTCTGTCGCTTAACTTTCATGGACTCACCCGTCTTCATTTGGAACGGGGAAGGCTGTTGTTGGTTTAGTGTCCAGGAAACAGCAGAGAACGTCTCGACCAGAAGAATCTAATTAGCATTAGCAATTCCACCATATAGCAGAACTCCTTCAGGCACATGTTATTTGTGGAGATAAAACTTCAACATTGTAAAGCAAATGGAGTCAGTGGTAGAATCAGGTTCCTGTTAGCCAATCCAAGGCGAGATGTCCGATTTTCAGGACTCCAGATCCATTTAAAGCTTAAGCTACCTTTTTTGTACTTTTAAAAATGTTTTTCCCCCAATAATCAGTTCAAACATTCCTTCTTTTCACCAACTCAGGCAGCAGGCTTTGCTGGCAGCCATCAGTGAGAAAGATGCTAACATCGCGCTGCTCGAATTATCCTCCTCCAAGCGCAAGAAAGCCCAGGAGGAAGTGTTGGCTCTGAAGAGGGAGAAGGACAGACTCATGCACCAGCTCAAACAGCAGGTACAATGCACAACCCCCAACCATCAAGGTATCCATTAGTGCTGGTGCAGTCTTAGTGAAATTCACAACTTCTTCTCCAAAAGCTGTGATGGAGTTCTGGTCTCTTGGTCACAGTTTATGACCAGTTCTAGTTTAATGAATCAGAGCAGGGTTACAGATGAAATCCTGCTGGACAGAATGAGGCAGTGCTTACATTACAGTAACCACATGGTAAGACTTTTGAACTTTAAAATCAAGAACAGATAAAGGTTCAAATGTTGTAGTATTTAACAGAATATACTACCCATCTTCAAACCACGCTTGCTGCATTTGATCATAAAAAAGTCTAATTACTAAAGCAGGAGCTCTGATACCAAAGGCGTTCACATTATCACATGATGGAAACTTTTCTTTTAACAGACATGCTGCAATCAGAGTTGTTGATTTAACTCAAGTGGCAGACTGGTGTCATCAATGAGTCACAGGTAGACTTTTGTCTGTCTTACATCTCCTGATTGCACATAAATCCCATACACACAAATACCAATGCACATCCCATTCGAATACTGCCCCAGTTCTCTGTAAGACCCAAGACAAAGGAAGGTATGTGGATCATTAGGCTCTGGTCAGACCACAGAAGTGACCGATTTGACGTGAAAGCTAACAGTAATGAGCTAACAGCAGGGAATCAACATGTACAGTCTCCTGAGTCACAGTGGCTTCTGGGAAAAGATGCTATGTTTAAAAGTGAACAGATGCAGAGCCTGGTTATCCATTTAAGTTCAAGTCTGTGTGTATCTTGTAAACGGTAAACAGTTCCTTGGGGGGTGCAAATTCAACATATTTCGAGGAAAACCTATTTTCTGTTTATTGCCATTTGATGCGTCATGTTTTCTGTTGGGCAACTTGCAGTTACAATCCACCTGATGATGTGACGAAGAGCTCTAATTGCAGGAATGTGGTCTCTGGGTCTAGGGCAGGAGAAGAAAAATGGATAAACTTTCATGAGAGAGAAAATGAGAGGATGTAAATAAACTTTTTTTTTTCCTCAAAAGTCCTGAGGCATTAGACAACCCTACATGTAGACTCATGGTGAAAAAAAATGAATCGCCTGTTTTGACTTTAAGATTTTGTTTCAGAACATTGAACAACCATCTGATGTTATATTATAAGATCATATTGATCTCATTGATTGTTTCAAAAAGGTCCTCATCAATAGGAATTTTTTTTTGTGGTGATCATGCATTTGCTCTGTCACAATGGTCGAGCGACTGGTAGGAGTTGAGCTGTGGCGTGCGTGACTTCCCAGACGCAGAAATATGAGCGCTGGGATTGAGCCGGCATGCGGTTTGATCTAGGAATGCCCAAGCGCTGGCCAAAGTGGAATAGAAGCGCGGAGCTATTCCAGAAGTAAGAAAGGGCACTTACTGGATGAAGAAAGTTCGTTGGGAGAATTGGCTGGTCGATTACTCTTATCATAGGTTCGAAGAAACGATGACTGAGTGACGTAAGATGAGAGGCGACTTCCGTATATAGTCGCGGTTGATGACGTAGGTGGACAATGATGGGAATCCCGGTGAGGCGCTGCTGGGAGTTGTGGTCCTAGGTGGAAGCCGGTTGGCAGGAAGAGGATGGTCTGGAGGCAGAGACTGTGAGGGTCCCAAAACTATGGAACTGTTTAACCGGTGATGTGAAGCAATCTACCTCCATTTGGAGTTTTAAAGTCCGACTGCATCAGTACTTGAGGTCTTTTAAGTAACTTGCTGGAATTGTGTTGTCATGAACTGATGTTTTTAATGATTGTAATCTCATTTTTATTGTTTTTTGTTTTTGTTTTTGTTTTTTGTTTTTTTTTTTTGTTCCATGCTGACATGTGGTTTTTAATGTAGGTGGCTTTTAATAGTGGTTTGTAAGTGTTGCTTGGCTTTTATTCTGTTGGCAAGCAGGGTTCACTGAAAACATTTGCTTGGTTTTATTCAATATATATTCAATTCTATTCAATATTCAATATTTTCCTTGTTTTATTTACTTATTCTGGCTTTTGTGTTGTTGTGTTCAGCACCTTGGGCAGCCTTGTTTGGTGGCAGAAAGGTGCTTTATAAATAAATTGATTGATTTATTTTGATTATTTTTTTCTTTTTGCTTTTATCCTCATTTTTCTGTCCAGTCTCAGACCATTTACATGATTTTCTTCCTTTTTTAGGCACACAGACCTATGAATCATATGTAAACAAGCTTACAAATCAAGGAATGAATCAGTGTTATGTCTATGGAGAACAGAAAATTGAGCAAAGAAGCCATTTGAAACGGAATCTTAAAGGTGCGGTTGACTGAAAACCAGTTTTAAACGTTTTTTTCTGATTGCAATCAGTCACTCTTAGTTTTACAAGCAAGCTGAACATGAAAACAGTGTCCTATACTTATCGTCTACATTAGCTTCTGATAGAAAATAAATGGTGAAATGCAAAGATTTGAAAATTATCACAGATCTATGTCACAGTTATTTAGCGTTCATGACCTCATCCATCGTCTCTCAGGATGGGGTAGGCTATGGTTGTTTTAATGTCCGGGGTTCCGCAGCGGACATCTCAGCTAGTTTAAGCTAACCGCCAGCATTAGCAACTTTACCACATGGCGGAACTCCTCCAAACTTGTGTTATTTGTGGAGATAAAACATCAACATTGTAAGTCAGACGTATAGTCTTATTGCATTTACCCAGTCTGAGGGGAGTTGTCCAAATATCAGGAAATAAGACTCCAAAACCTGTCGTCTGAAGCTCAGCTGTGATGTGGGCAACTTTTAGGTCTGAGAAATGGTGCACCAGTATATTTTTCCCCCACATTCCTTTAAGGCAGTTTGGCATTAGCTATCTGTCACAAAGATAGCTCTACTACTTCTTTTGTGCTCCATTCATCCACATCCAAGAAATAATTATGTTTATGTATTTCTTAGACGCTTTTGTCCAAAGCGACTTACAAGTGATAAACGGCATGTTGCCCTTAAGGCTAACAATAACAATAACAACAACAACAAACAATTTTCAGTCAGTCGTAGGTGGCAGTGAGGCAGCATGAAGAATCCTGGAGAGGAGGAAACAAGGAGTGGACAGTAGAGAGGGGGGACGGGTGCAGGGAGGGAGCTAGTTTAGAAGATGCTCTCTGAAGAGCATTGTCTTCATGAGTTTTTTGAAAATCAACAAGGAAGCCCCTGTTCTGGTAGTGCTTGGTAGGTCATTCCACATTTGTGGAACGATGCATGAGAAGAGTCTGGATTGTCCTGAGCATGGTGTAGGCGCTGCTAGTCGATGATCCTGTGATGACTGGAGCGGCCGAGATGTAAACCTTTGCAAAAGGATTCAGGTAGATGGGAGTTGCACCATCTTGGACTTTGTATGCTAGTGCTAGCTATTTGAATTTGATGCATGCAGCTAGCAGTAGCCAGTGGAGCTCAATGAACAGAGGGGTGACATGTGCTCTTTTTGGCTGATTGAAGACCAGACGCACCGCTGCGTTCTGGACCATTTGAAGAGGTCTCACAGTACAGCCTGGAAGACCACTTAGAAGGGCATTGCAGTAATCAAGGCGGGAGATGACAGTAGATTGCACCAGGAGTTGGGTGGCATGTTGTGTTAGGTATTGCCTGATCTTTCGTATGTTATACAGTGCAAAGCGGCATGAACGAGCAACAGAGGCAACATGATTTTTAAAGGTCAGGTGTTCATCAATCACAACACCCAGATTTCGAATTGCCTTCGAAGGAGCCAGAGATAGGAAGTCATTTTGGATTGAGATATTGTGCTGTGTGAATGGTTTTGCTGGGATGACAAGTTGTTCAGTTTTAGAGAGGTTGAGTTGGAGATGGTGGGATTTCATCCATTTTGATATGTCAGAGAGACATTTTGATATCCGTGCAGAGACAGTGTGGTCGTCCGGTGGAAATGACAGATAGAGCTGGGTGTCGTCTGCATATCAGTGGTAAGAGAAGCCATTTAGTCGAATGATCTCACCCAGTGAGGTGGTGTATATGGCAAAGAGAAGAGGTCCTAGTACAGGGCCCTGGGCAACTCCTGTGGCAAGATGGTACACGGTAGAGGATTGTCCAAGCCAAGATACACTGAATGATTGTCCTGTGAGGTACGATTCAAACCAGGCATGTGCTTCCTCTGTGATGTCCATGCTAGAGAGTGCGGACAAAAGGAAGCCATGGTTGACAGTGTCAAATGCAGCCGATAAGTCGAGCAGGATAAGCACTGATGATTTGGCAGTTGCTCTAGCTTCTTTTAAGGATTCCGTCACTGCTAACAGAGCAGTTTCAGTGGAGTGGCCCTTTTTGAACCCAGAGTCAAGCAGACAGTTTTGTGAGAGGTATTCTGCGATCTGCTTGAAAGCCACCCTTTCAATGATTTTGGACAGAAAAGGGAGGAGAGAGATAGGTCGGTAGTTCTCCACATGATTTGGAGGAAGAGATGGTTTTTTTTTAGCAGCGGTTTAACCTGAGCATGCTTGAGAGAGGTGGGAAATGTACCAGATGTCAGTGAAGTGTTCATCACATGTGTAACTGCTGCGGCTACTGTAGGAGCAATAGCTTGGAGCAGCTTAGTCGGAATGGGGTCGAGTGAGCATGTAGTAGGGCGGTTGCACGTGAGAAGCTTGGACACACAGTTCTCAGTGATAGGGGAAAAAGAGGAAAATGAAGCAGTAGGGCTTGAGATGGTTGGGCTAGAAATAGTTTGTGGTAGCCAATGTTCAGGAGTGGCCAGTTGAGTACACTGTTTGCTTATAGCTGCCACTTTGTTAGTGAAGAATGAGGCAAAGGTGTCAGCTGATAGATTGTTGGTAGGAGGTGGAGACGGAGGGTTGAGCAGAGTTTTGAATGTGGAAGATAGTTTCTGAGTCAGTAGAGCTGAGAATTTTGTCAGTGTAGAAATCTTTCTTTGCATCAGTGATGCTGGCAGAGAACAAGGACAGTAATTCATGAAATTTCAATTGATCACCAGGATCTTTTGTTTTGCGCCATTTCT